CAGAATAAACTAGGAGAAATGATATTCATTCATTAGTTTGTGAGATCAAATTAGCAATTTTCCGACTTTTATTAAGCTGAAAATTTATGTAGAACTTGCTGTCTGCTAAGTCTACTTTAAATGAATTTATTATTTAAACCTAAATACAGAACATATGTAAATCTTTATTAAAATCCATCTCATCACTAATCGATCACTCATTAACCCACTGCCTTTGAGTCGGATCCAACTCATAGCAAACCCTCCTTGGGTTTCTCAGACAGTATCACTAAGGAAGTAGATTGCCCAACGTTCCTTCCAAGGACTGGCTGGTGGGCTTGAACTGCCAGCCTTCTGGTTAGAAGTCAAATGCCTTAGGCACTACATCACCAGAACTCCTGGACAGAATCAGGACATAAAATTTGCATCATTAATTGTTGTTGTTATGTGCCCTTGAGTCGGACCTGACTCATAGAGACCCTTCCTTGGGTTTCTGAGGCAGTATCACTACAGAAGTAGATTGCCCCATCTTCCTTTGCAATATTTTTATGTCCTGATTCTGTGTTTTAAGACATCTTGTAATCTGTCAAAGAATTTTTCTTTTTTATTTACAAATTTGGTAAATAAATATCCAGTATCTCCATCTAATTAATACATAGGAGCTCTGGTAGCATAGTGCCTAAGGTACTTGACTGATAACCAGAAGTCTGGTAGTTCAAACTCACCAGCTGCTCCTCGGAAGGAAGGTTGGGCAATCTACTTCCGTAGTGATACCACCTCGGAAACCCAAGGAGAGTCACTATGAGTTGGTCTGACTCAATGGCACATAACAACAATTAATATAAAAATTATTGTGATGTATAAGTCAGAGAAAAGTATACTTCCATTAGAAACTGTCTTTCAGGCTTATTTTAATTCTTTTAATCAGAGACTTCAGTGTCATATCACTCCAATATTTATTGGTAAAAGTAAATATCAGCAATCATCTACCCATATCTCACAATGTAGTACCAAGAAACTGTGTCAAATGCTTACTTATATTTTAAATATGATAGATCTTCTCTTTTTTTTTTCTTTTTTTGCTCAATCAGAATAGAAATTCTGTCAAAGAAAAAATAGCGTATTTAAATATGATGTATCCAAGTAACACAATATCAAAACATCTATTACCACTCCCGTTCTTCAAATGTCTAGGAATCCTTTATTAAAGAATGGATGCTAGAATTTCCTAGGCACTGTCATCAACCTACAGGAATACTTTTGAAAAAGGACCAAACGCAGGTCACTGTGTGGTGTGCAGTCAGGCCAAAACAGTTTATACACCAAGTGATTAAGAGGAGAGAAAATTATTTATTGCAAAACGGCAATGAAAGGAGTAGGGGTATCCCCTTACCCACATCTGACTCCCCAAAACTCCATCAAATTACAGCTTTGTAGGCTTCAGAAGAGAGGGTTATGAATATTCATAAAAATGTCAGGAATTTGGGCATGAGATGGTTGACTATTGGCTGACATTTCGTTCGCCTCAGTTTAAAGGGACAGTAGCGTTTTGAGCCAGTGTGCTTGCTTACCAGATGAGGATGAGTCACACCGGCTTCCTATCATCAGCTGATCAGGCCTTAGGCAAAGGGGAGAGTGTTCGTTCCCAGTAACTTTTCTCCTCTCTGTTCCACTGCACATGTCCGCAGGTCACAGTTAATTTTCAAGTTGTTTTTTTATTATTATTATTATTTTGTTTTTAGTCTCCCCAATAAGTTTATAAATGCAGACACATTTTCTGCATTATTTTAAGTTGTTCAACAAGACTACTAAGGCTACTAAGTATCAGTGCCTACACTGTTGTTGTTTGTTGTTGTTATGTGCCGTGGAGTCCGACCGGACTCATAGCAACCCCTCCTTGGGTTTCTGAGGCAGTTTCATTATGGAAGTAGATTGCCCAACCTTC